GTTGCTTTGGTCTGCAAGTGGTGCCCCACTGCTAAGATGTAGGATTTGTTGCCGTTGCTTTGGTCCGCAAATGGTGCCCCAATGCCAAGATGTACGATTTGTTGCCGTTGCTTTGGTCTGCAAGTGGTGCCCCAGTGCCAAGATGTACGATTTGTTGCCGTTGCTTTGGTCTGCCAGTGGTGCCCCAATGCTAAGATGTACGATTTGTTGCCGTTGCTTTGGTCTGCAAGTGGTGCCCCAATGCTAAGATGTACGATTTGTTGCCGTTGCTTTGGTCTGCAAGTGGTGCCCCACTGCTAAGATGTACGATTTATTGCCGTTGCTTTGGTCTGCAAATGGTGCCCCAATGCTAGATGTACGATTTGTTGCCGTTGCTTTGGTATGCAAGTGGTGCCCCAGTGCTAAGATGTACGATTTGTTGCCGTTGCTTCGGTCTGCAAGTGGTGCCCCAAAGCTAAGATGTACGATTGGTTGCCGCTGCTTTGGTCTGCAAGTGGTGCCCCAATGCTAAGATGTACGATTTGTTGCCGTTGCTTTGGTCTGCAAATGGTGCCCGAATGCTAACATGTACGATTTGTTGCCGTTGCTTTGGTCTGCAAGTGGTGCCCCAATGCTAAGATGTACGATTTGTTGCCGTTGCTTTGGTCTGCAAGTGGTGCCCCAATGCTAAGATGTACGATTTGTTGCCGTTGCTTTGGTCTGCAAGTGGTGCCCCAATGCTAAGATGTACGACTTGTTGCCGATGCTTCAGTCCCCCAATGCTAAGATATACGATTTGTTGCCGTTGCTTTGGTCTGCAAGTGGTGCCCCAATGCTAAGATGTACGATTTGTTGCCGTTGCTTTGGTCTGCAACTGGTGCCCCAATGCTAAGATGTACGATTTGTTTCCGTTGCTTTGGTCTGCAAGTGGTGCCCCAATGCTAAAATGAACGATTTGTTGCCGTTGCTTCCCAATGCCAAGATGTACGATTTGTTGCCGTTGCTTTGGTCTGCAAGTGGTGCCCCAATGCGAAGATGCACTATTTGTTGCCGTTGCTTTGGTCTGCAAGTGGTGCCCCAATGCTAAGATGTACGATTTGTTGCCGTTGCTTTGGTCTGCAAGTGGTGCCCCAATGCAAAGATGTACGATTTGTTGCCGTTGCTTTGGTCTGCAAGTGGTGCCCCAATGCTAAGATGTACGATTTGTTGCCGTTGCTTTGGTCTCGAAGTGGTGCCCCAATGCTAAGATGTACGATTTTGGTTTGCAAGTGGTGCCCCAATGCTAAGATGTACGATTTGTTGCCGTTGCTTTGGTCTGCAAGTGGTGCCCCAATGCTAAGATGTACGATTCGTTGCCGTTGCTTTGGTCTGCAAGTGGTGCCCCAATGCTAAGATGCACGATTTGTTGCAGGACCTCACCACGTCGCCTGTGCGAAATGAAATCGGAAATAGCATGCTGGGCTAGAGTCGTACTATGGCACCATGTGACTAGTTCTTCCAATCAAAAAACGCGCAAGACATCCTCTGCTCAGCCTTCTGGGATGTCAACGAGGATTTACTCCGCGAAAAAGAAACGACTATCTGCCTGTCGCGCATATGCACCGTTGCACCTGTAAGTCCTGGTGTTAAGTTCTCGCCTCTGGGATCGGCCTTCCGTACTGCAACTTGCTACCTAGCATGGGTTGTCTTCTTCTCTCCCCCTTTCTCCCCTCACGACCTTCAGGTCCATATCCTCTCTAATCAGAAGTGGTTGACCCCCGTGAGCGGCTGATGGACATGTGGCATGTTAGCAATGAGCCTCGGGCGAATGTCAAGCACACGGCAAAGAACATAGCCACGGACAGATACCCGTCAGTCATCCGCCTCTTGCTTCTCTCCTTCCTTCCCCACCCGAAGCTCTAGACGAGAAGCTTGCAAAGAACATCCATGTAGGCCTGACAACACCTGCATCTTGGACTCCGACCGCCAGAACAAAAACGGCAACATCACCTCGGCGCTCTCCAGCACGTGAGTGCAGCGTACTCGAGACAAAGGCCTTGCGGCCTACTCCGAACTGCATGGGCCGCGGAGGTCCTCATGCATGCTGTTGAAGAGCAGACTGATGCAGATGCACAGCCGATCATCAAATTCAGTACACTTGAGGATCGTGGGACCTCTTCCTTGTACAACCGAAGTTTCCTGCTGCAGGAACATTCCGAACAAGCAGCAGTAGTGGTGGCAGTGGTGGCAGCAGCAGCAGTGGCAGAGAGGTGCTAATCGGGCCGACGGTGAGTATCCAGCCAGCTGACCAAGAACCGAGCAGGCTGTGCAAAATCTAGGCTGACCGCCGTTAATTCCTCAAGTTCGGTGCATAAAGTATGTCAATGGCTGTGTGGGCGGACGGATGCAGCAGCTCTACGTCCGTGCGGTAATCCCGGATGCTGCAGTATGGCAGGGGCAGAATACCTACCACGTTGTCTCAAGGTCGAACGAACTTCATGCAACTGGAGCAGTCTAGGCCTTCTAGGCCTTGCAGAGGATTTTGGGCACGTGAGCTCAGATCCTGGCCCGACCCCGGTGGCACTCCTGAGCCCCGGCTTGAAAAGGCCACGGAACAAGCAGGATGCTGCAGCTTATGGCGAAGGCGGAGACTGTCGCAGAATCTCAGGGTCGAACGAAGCGGATGCAATGGGATCACTCTAAGGCTCTAAGGGCTTGGCAGAGGATGATCACGACGACGAGGGTCGCAAAAGGACGACCCGTCGTGGTAGTCCCTGAACATGGCTGCAAACTGCGGGTGTCACCTACCTGCGGTTTCAGAGGCTGTCACAAGCGGCTGGCCTCCACTTGGGGGTTTAGGGTTTAGGGCCAGTACAGTATGGACTGCGCCAAACCGGAAAGTTCCGAAAGCAACGTCGCGGAATCCAATCCGCGGATCCTGGCCTGTTGATGTCAGAAGTTTCCCACACGTCACAGAACATGCCCCCCAAAACCTCCTTCGCACATTTGCAGGGAATTGAAGATTCTAGGCTCTGTGACTGTCAAAGGAAACAACCAAGCCCAGACTACAGCGCGCGTGCATACAGTCCACATTGATATCCAAGGCCGCCGACTCGAGGGCCTCTTCGCCCCCATGGCCAGGGGAAGAAAGGCTGATAGACCTCCGAGCACAAGGAGCTGTCCCAACGCGCAGGCGGACCCGAAAATCGAAACCCGGTATCTTCGATAATGCAATGAAAGACCTGGGGCTCGAGTGTCAAGCGACCATTGGGATATGACCGCTTCGCGGCGATGCTAGTCTGCACGAAATTTTCGTGCCATGCAGTGGTACTGTAGCCTCGCCCGAGGCTTGCTGGGGAACATGTCTAGACAAATCTCTAATTCCCTTTGTAAATCAAATCAGCGAATCAAAGATCCAAGTTACCAGTAGCAGTCGCAAGTGTATGATGGATATAATTGGCAGACTGGGTAGTCGGAAGTTCATAGGTGGGGAAAAGCCCGGAGCCTCGATGTCTTGAGCGCCCCAGCTGCCCAGCTCAGCTGCACACAGAGTTTTGCTGTGGGTCCTGGCAGCGGCTGCAGGGTTTCTCAAGAATGTCAAGAAAGTCAGTGCTGCATGACACCATCAAAGGACAGAAACCCTACAAAACCGGCTGCTACATTGCACCTGAAACGTGGAAGTAAAAAAATGGACATCCCTCACTCGCATCCCATACCCAAAGCCCACAACCCAGTACTCCTGCATCCTTATATGCTGACAAGGACACTCAAACAAGAGGCTCCCCCAAACCCCACAAACACGATACAAACCCCATCAAAAAGCCTTATGACACCCTCCCGGCGCAGTCGTCCAAGGCAACCACCATAAGCAGGACTGTTGCTCCGCATGCAGAAAGAAATTGTTGAGGTGTTTCTTGATCAAAGAAATGCAGGCACTTCCGGGCTCAGGTAATTGAAATTCTAATGGCCTGATGATCACCTGATCGCCCCCACCCTCCTTCTACCATCGTGACAGGAGCCCTCCGAGGTGCTTAGGTGAAGTTGCAGATCAAGACCTGCACTTTCTCCTGAGGCAAAAAGCGGGCCCCGACGGCTGCAAGGTTGAGTGACGTTCCCAAGTTGAAGCGAGGGCATCTGTTGTCGATGCCTTGATGGTTTCCGTGAAACCAGGGTGGTGGTGATGATGGTGATGACGACAACATCGCCTTGCTCGTCAGCCTGAGGACCTACTCATCGCCATAACTTTACCGTCATCACCTCAACATCATTCTCACCACCCTTGCTGATGATCACCGTTGCCGCGACCGTCACGAGCATCACTGCCAGCATCGGCATGATGATGGCGACACAGAGAGTTCGGGATGGTGGTGGCGGTGGCTGTGGTGGTGGTGACGACAATGACCGGGATGATGATAATCTCGAGGGCGACGGGCGACAGACACTAAGCGAAGATGATGCCAAGTCGCACGCTCAAAGTGTTCCGATTTTGCATTTCCAGTATTGGTAATTTGTCCCTTACGAGTAATTACGGAGTTGGGCAACCAAAGAATGAATGCAAGAGTAATGCAAACACTGCAGAGCGAAGTACGAGGCCCCATCAATGCAAAAGCCGCCAAGCAGAGAAGTAAGGAGTCTTCGATACTGCCGCGTCACGTTGTCGTCTGGGCCTGCCTCCACAAAAGTGGAAGCACCGTGCCACGCCTCCGGAAGGATTCCGGCTTGGGACCGAGAGTCTGTACTCACGGCTGCGGACTAGAGTCGCTGAAGGTCGGGCAATCTCAGGGTCGTAGGGATTGCATTGCCAGGGTGAGTGCTTACTCCAAAAGCGAGGGAAACATCACGACAATACACAAACTGACACAAACACATGAGTCTGTGACAAGTGACAAGCACAAGGCAAGGCAGATCCAAAGAGGTTTTTTCATGCGCACAGTGGGCGTTTGAGTCATCACGGACATACCTTGGCCGCACACCCGCAGTGCGTCCAAGCCAACCCCCCCCCCCGCTGACTCCTTACGTCAAGAATGGCAGCAAAAGCGCGTTCAGAGGCTTGTGCTCACACGGCTCTTCTTGCTGCATGCCTCAAGATATGTCATATCCGACAAGCGCTTCGCCCCTTTGGGGAATCTGCGTGACCGCTCCAGCACTTTTGGATCTGTCTTGAAGCTGTGGGCTGCAGACTTCTTTGCCCGCTTCTCATTCGGCATCACCTGAGGTTCGGCAAAAACTACCATTGCGCATGGGGACAGGGAGAACCGGGAAAACTGTTTCCCTGCTTTTGTGACACACAACACAAGGCCATCGACATGGCCTCTCCCTCGTAGGGCTCGCTGCTCCAGGCGGGAATACGCAGAGAAGCCTGGAAGCCTCCACTTGTCCGCGTAATTTCATAGAAAACTTCCTTGGACATATCATCCACGCCAGTCAAGCACCTGAATCACGGGAGACGGCCAGCAAATGAATGTGTTCCGGTTGCTGCTTACGCGAGACACTAAACGACAACCAACTGCAAAGCCAACTGCGAATTCAGCAGGGCACCTTGCAAAAGCGTGGACGGCCTCTAGCTCGCCTTTTTTCTCCAGCTGGAGGTCGAAGAAGAACTCTTCGTCCGGATGTGGCGGCATTGGAAAAGGTGGCCGTGAGATGCTGCTAGATTCAATAGCTGTGCATGGGTGCAAGTCACACATATTCGCTCAGCGTTCAGCAAACAGTTCAACAAGACCGTGGCAGCCTTCGTGGCTTAGGATGTAGCTGCGACATGCATTCTTGACTTGCCTACCATGAGCCCTAAACTGGTCCAGAACAAGAGCATGTCAGCAAGGCGCAAAGAAAAGTTCCCGCAACACGGAATCTCTCTCCGCCGATCCCTCATACCCCAACACCTCGAGCGAAAAGCGCCTACCTCCGAAACGTTCTAAAGCACCCGGCTCCAGATTTGAAGTTTGGGTTTCGGGTTTGACATGGTTGTTTTGGGTGGGATTCGATTCGAAGGATCCGCTTGAAGACTTGCTAGGCTCCAGTCCAGGACAACCCCATGTTGCGTGTCAGCAAGACAGTGCAAACGAAAGAATCCCGCAACCAAATCGAATTATTCGCTTCTCTCAGCCCCTCATACCAACGTTTTAAAGCTCCGGATGCAGCCGCCACCATCCCCACCCAGCGATGCGACTGTGACTACCGTTCCAGGGCTGTGCACCGTCAACCAAGTGAGCCTACTCCCCTCATGACTGTAAACTGCTACTGCCGGTACAGATGCTTGTTGCCCAAGCTGGTCGCAGCTGCCTGGAAGTCCATCATTGGCTCCGGCATGCGCTGGATGGCGTCGTCATCCTACGAGGGCATCGGCATTTATGACTCGTGGTCAGCCAGAAAACAGTCTCTGAGCTAAGGCTGTGCGCTACGCGGGTCCTCGGGAAGTACGATCACTTCATCGTTCTGAACACGGCGTGCATGCTCATGTGCACGGCCTTGTGCGCAACCGCCAGGACCAGCTCAACGTGCCAACGTCTCTTCCCATGCTCTCTGTACTCCTACGGAGTTCTGCCTATTTCAGCCTCCACTTAATGCAAATCCCCCATGATGCTTCTTGCAGCAAGCAAGAGCCAAGAGACTCCTACCCATGCACCAGGAATTAAACATGTACCTACGAGATCCGACGAGTTAATGCCTCTTGGCGTTGAGCAGGGGGGGCACGGGGACGGCGTTAAGCCCTCCTACGTTCTTGGTGTCTTGGCTGCTTGCTGCGCATGAGGTCCCTTCACCCTGCACTCGAGCTATGCGGCGGTCCATCGAGTCTTGGTGTGATACATGACATGGATAAGTGCCGATGCTCCGGGCACGGGAAAACTCCCCGCTTCCAGTTTCTGAGTCAGCCCCCTCAACAGCACTGATCACTTCTGCCAGCTTGGGCTCCGGTAGAGCAAAATTGAAACATTGAGAAGAGCAGGGAAGGTGTCCTTACGATCTTTAGCACGTCTCGGATTGAAGGGCTTCTTTGTAGCCCCTAAACCAGGTATCCCAGGACAGCCCTGAGCCATAAACTGCCCTCTAAAAGGGGAGGGCCCGCTGGCAGGCGCAGCGCCCGAAGCAGCAACCCCAAAGCTGGGCTCGGTCCATCTTCACTTTGCAGGATTTCTCCGGGTTGATGATGTAAGCAAGTGAAGCAAGGACATCAGCAGCCGTCGGGAATGGACGCAGGACCAAATGGATGCACCACAGGGATCATCCAGGATCCCATCCGTGCGGAACCCGGGCCTGAAGCGTCTCGGATACCGATCGGCACCGTCTTCTCACTCCTGCGACGGTGAATCGAACTGTAGAAACTTCAAAGCCTATGCAGGGTCGCGGCTGCGTTTTCCGGGACCCGCTTAACCAGGTGGATTTCCGGTGCATTTTCACTTGGCATGACTTTGTTTTACACTTGCTCGCAGCTCGCATGATTCACATTATTGCGTGACCCCCTGTCCCGAAAATGCAAGTATCCTGGCCCTGGCCCTGATGTCGAAAAAGCTCTTGCCAAACAGATATTGCCTGTACAAGCATTTACAACTATTTCCCAAAACCGCAAACCCCAAACACCGAAAGCTTAAATCCTGGCATTAGGTTTGCGCGAACCCTCGGTCCAAGCAAGCTCGAGTCGCCAGACGTTGCGGACTTGCCCACCATAGACGGCTGGGAGCATCCCCTGGGCGATGCCGCCATCCGCCTGCTGTGCTATATCGGGTCTTTAAAACGGCTGAATACAGGGGCCTGAATGATTAGTGAAGGCGTTTTGGGGCATGTTTTCGTTTTATCACAGTGGGATTACCAGGTCTCGCAGGCCTCCTGAATTTGTGCCTGTACCCACATCACCCCACTACAGGACTTCCGGTGATGAGATCAATGAGATGGTTCAAGTGGAGCCAAGGCTCCAAAGGCTCCAAAGCCAACCCCAAGCTTGCTTCCTAGATGCTACCCTACCTGAAAAAGGTCTTCCTGAAGGGGCTTTCCGAAGTTCACCTATCTGCATGGTCCTGGTGCGACGATAACGACCTGCCAAGGGGCTTGAGCTCAACTTCCAAGTTTAAAGGGTGTATTTCCCGGCATTGGTCGACCTCCAGTCCCGCTGCCCTGCTGCGGCTCCCACGCGACGCATGGCTCATCTGGCTCATCGCCAGACCAGCTTCAGGCTTCACGCACGGTCTGTGGGTACGATGGCTGGGGTATCCGTGACGATGCCGGCTGGCATAAATGCTGCGTCATCTCCTGTCTCCAGTCTTGCGGTTATGTGACAGTCTTGGTGGTGCTGAGGCTGCCGCCAGTATGACTGCGCAACAGCAACTATTTTTGCTACTCCTCATCCCGCCACTTCTGCGACGCTACCAGCACCAAAAACCATGCATAACGTGCAACTAGCGCTTGCACTGTGCTACTCCATGCTACTCCTGTGTTTCTGCCGATTGTTGGCTGTGTCTGCCATGACTCAGGGCTGCCAGGCGCAAGAGGTCATCGCAAAAAGCCTTGCAAACTTCATGATTCTGTGGCGGGAGGCCGGTTGTTCCTTCTTCCAGCTATGTTCTTCTGGCGGAACGACCCCCTGAGGCTTCGGCTCGAGTTCGGAGAGTGAGAAACTGAACAGTGAGGGCTTATGTTTCGAGCGATGGAGCTGGCGGCCCTCGTTTTCCGGCTGCATGATCAGCTCGTGTGGTCCCCTCCTCACACATCCTGCACAGAGGCGCAACGCAATGATGCCAGAGGAGGCTGTATTATCAAATCCTGGAGTTGCCCCACGCTCGACCCGAAAGGACCCGACTTTACCTTCTCAACCTGTCATAGTGTGCACTGCTGCCCGAAGCTTCACAGATGTTAACATGTGCTAAGGTCCGCATCTTACATCAGGTACATCTTTGTCTTGGAATGAAGCACGGAAGTCTCTATTCAGGGCACCTCTTTCAAGGACGCGGCTCCCCTGCCCTCTCCCTTGTCCGCCTTGATCACCACGATCCGATCCTCCTCGGTCCAGACCCGCGGCTGCAGCTTCTCCTTGGGGTTCATCACCCAAACCTGCTTCGGAGAACTCACAAAAGCGGCTAGCATAGAACCCTTGAGCTTCAATCATGTAGCAGCTACTACTGAGCTGTAGCCGGCCCACGGAAAAGTTTATAATAAGGGCATGTCAAAACAAGGAATGATTCCGGAATTGCAGGCGGCCATTTTGCGAGTTGTCCCTGTTCTAACCAACGACACGTCTCTGCCTTGTTGCCGTCGCTGTCTCCTTGCAGGCTCCAAAGGCGGCGTTAGTATAGACCCCGAATCCTAACCTAATGTTAAAGGTCCGTGGACTGCCTTGCTCTGGCAAGGGCGTAGGGTTCAATGCCGTCTGTTCATGAAGGCTTTTGGCCCAACATGGTCTTTCGGCTTGTTTTCCCCCTCCGTCAAAGCATGCATGTACCTGTCACACGATAACTCTGACGGGGTCTCGGAGAGCACAAAGTTGGCTGGTTGGCACCCGTGCCCATGTGCATGCCAAGCATCTCTCCGACCAGCCAATCACCACCTTGCACGGCTTGAGGGCTCCCCTCTCCTCCAGGCCGTTGCCATGGGTACATATCAAAAAGTAAAGGTCCCGAAGCTCGCGACATGACCCGAAACGGCCCACTGCCATCAAAGCATCAGTGTCAGCACACGTTGAGATTAAGTGAAACTTCGAAAGCCCAAAGCTTCTATTTACACACCTTGGACCCCAACCCATCAAGCACCTGCCTGCTGGGCTGCGCGGTTCACCATGGCCGTGATCTCCGCAAAGGATATCCTCGGACTCCGTGCTTCAGGGCAGAGTTTCTCTGGAAAACCTTTGGCTGATGGGGGATACCGCAGGCAAAGAGTGCTTCGGCTAACCCTTTTCTGGGATGGGCATCGCCGGGGTAGCTCCAACGACATCAGATTGAGAGAACAGCCCCATGCTGAGGTGTCTGCGAACAAGCTCTTCCTGTCAAGTGAAATCAGAAAGTCGATCCAAGCAGAAAGCCGAGGGAAGCCTCATGAAGCCTCTCATAAGACCGTCCATCTCTGGTATTGGACATGAAGCCTTTTCACTCTTGGGCCCTTCGGCCAACAAATTCTGAAGCAATCCGGACGCTTCACGGCTCCAGCTTCTACCCTGGCCCCGAACGAACAGCCCTGCTCAATCCGCGTTGCTGCGATGGCAACCGCTGTTCGCCGAGATAGTCTCCCAGGGTCCTCAAGAGAAGCCCTGCTTTGATGCTTGCGTCAGCAACCGACATAGACTTTGCAACAGCAGCCAAGGGCTGGAGGAGCGCGAGGGGAGAGCCTTGCGTTGAAGTCAGAGCCCGCACATGACCAGACCCCTCCACACCCGAGACGGGCAGCATGCAAACGTCGGCACCGGACAGGCAGCCATGAGCCGGTGCAGAGAAGCACCATAACAATGAATACATGATCTGGTGTTTATTGCACGCAGGCTCCAAGACGATCGGACATGCAGGGAAAACCCTGAACACACTGAAGACCCCAAGTGTTGGGGAAAGAGAGGGCAGGTAGCATTGTTTGCGTTACCTACAACCGGAAGAGCCAGGGCACATGATGTCCATGTTGTTGCCCGTAGCTGACAGCAAGTCAGAAAGCACACCGTGTGCCAGGGTGTCGATGGCTACGAGCGCCTGGGCCATGTCCCAGCAAGTTCCAGTCAGCAATAGTGCCCCATGGCTAGCTCGCAGTTGGTAGCAAGAAGAAAAAGAGCAGCAGCAGCAGCAGCAGCAGCAGCAGCAGCAGCCGCTGCCGCAGCAGCTGCAGTAGCACCTACTCTGCATCATGCTCATCATGCTCATCGTCATCATCATCATCATCATCAGCATCATGCTCTCGTTGTTCCTGCTGCTGCTACCAGCTACAACTTCTCGCTGCTACTGTTATTGCTACTCTCACTGTTGCTAGTGCTTCTACTGTTGCTACTGCTACTGCTACTTCTGCGGCCACTACTGTTTCTCCTCCTCCTCCTCCTCCTCCTCCTCCTGCTACGACGATGCCGACGGACGACGTCGACGGACGACGATGATGATAATGATGATAGCGACCACTGCCACTGCCCTCCACCACCTCCTGCGCCTCCTCCTCCTGCTGAACACTACCACGCTCGGCCAGCACCGACAAATATGCAATCCTTTTGCACATACTGTATAGGAACGACGGGATATGGCTGAGAGCCCGCTTGCCGAGGGGCCATCGCACGTGACATCATGGAGATGGTGTTGATGGTGTTCCTGTGCAGCCAAATTATTGGATATAGCGCTTTTGAAGGCTTCTTTGTAGGGTAATTGCAAGGAGGGCCTTTGGATTCAAGACTTCGAGCTGTTGGTTCATGCTTAAGCCGTGACTACATTTCGGGGCTCTTGTTTAACAGTCTCAGACAGCGCTTCCGAGGCGCTCGATGCCGAGAAGACCCAGCTGCGCGTGGGCGTTGCTGGTGCAGATCTCGACCTCGCTTGATGTTGCTGTTGAAGGGCTTGGGATGGCTTAACGGTTTCAGGCGGCCGCAAAGAGCTCGTGCTGCGAATAAAGCAGATCTTCCGGCATCATACACTGGAATTTGCTATCCTAGCATATCCTGTGCTCGTCCCTGATATAGCATATCGCCTCATACCGTGTTCTATCCTATACAGTACGCTACGGTCATCAGCCGGGAGCCCCGCAAGCGGGTTGAACGCCAGGTCGGGGGCGCGGGCCTGGAAAGCAGAAAAATCTCGGAGGATCCTTGCTTTTGCTGCGGGTTTTACCGAACAGTGAAAGAGTGAGACCCGGAGGAGGGAAACAGTAGTCTGAAACCAAGTCTGCCCTGTTGGCTTGAGCGTTGCGCGCCCTGTCTGGGCTCTGGGCTCTCTCGTTGGGCGATTCAGACCCTGAGTCGTAAGCCAGCTACTTAGTGATACCGCCGCGCGGCGTTTCCACACAAATTATCTACGCAAGCGGAACGGCAAAAGCACATGCTGAAGGAGCTGCGGATGGGCCGCCAAAGCGGAAAGTCGTATGCGGCAAAGCACCAAAAGAGGAAGCACACAGAAAAACGGTCCTAAACCACGGCCGTCGAAGTATTCGAAAACGCAGCTTTACGCTTAGCAAGAGAGGAAAAGCTCATGCTAAACCTCATAGCGGCGGCAACACGTCGGAAGACCATGCAGAACAAGCATCTTCGATGCCTGATATCCGGAACGAAACCAAAACGAGCAGTCATTGTTTCGAAGCAAGGTACAATCAAAACGAAGCGCACTAGCACAGCCAAAGTATGAAGCATCAAACATGAAACACCACAAGCTTGTTGCCCAAATGGCAAGTAAGAACATGACAAGCTGCAAGGGAGGTGCTTCATCCGATATCCTTGTTGTTCTTGCGAGAAGCATTTAGAAGTACTTGCACGGTAACTTGACCACCTATTTTGGCAGCATTCCGCTGACAGCGCCCTTGGCTTTCAGAAGGCCGCAGACAGTGACACATGATTGAACACATTTTGCCACACACATTCCGACCTTTTGTTTCGTCCTTTGACCTGCAAGTAATTTCGGGGCCAGAGAGTTGGAGTGTATGGCAGGCCGACCGTAGTCCCTCAACGTTCAGCTCAAGCTTCGTATGCATGCCGGGTGGGGCTTGCCCCAGGTCCCAGACACACATAAACAGACTTACATGCCACACTCGTTATCGGCACACGCATCACGGCTCTAACTCGCAGAAGGATGTTTACCGCGCTGCCTTGATCTGTCAACACCTTTACCTGCACGTACCTGACATACAAACGCCGCCGAGAAAGGTGCGGAATACCTACACAAAGAGATTGAAAAACACACTACGATCGGTGAAGTTTGGATGCCTTCAAAATACCCAGCAGTTGTTCAAGAAGCCTACACCGAAAACACGTATCGAAACCACACAACAGTAACGCCCACAAGAAGTAACTATCAGAAAAGAGTGCACGGTGGCACCACTACTTTGACGGCAACGACGACAATGACGACTACTGACTACTGCCACTGCCACTGCTCCTGCCACTGCCGCTGCTGCACAAGACTCCTCTACCCCCACTCCTCTACTCCTACTCCTGCTCCTGCTCCTGCTACTGCCACTGCTGCTGCCACCGCTACTTCTAGTGCCACTGCCACTGCTGCTGCTCCGCACAACAAAAAGGTGCTCTGCCCAGCTGAGATCCAATCGCCCTTGTGACCATCTTCTGCTTCACGTCGTTCGCGATCGTCGTCGCCTTATGCGGACAGAGGCGGACGTGGCAGTTGCACCGTCACTCGGAGACGGAAGAAACCCTTGCGGCCCGGCTTGGGTTGCATCAACGTCATCACCGTCTCCTCAGAGAGCCGCGGGTGGCCAGGAGATGATCAGCATCCCTCGCGAACGCGAGAGCTTTTGGCCTCGTAGTTGGAGCCGGCGAGCAGTTCACGAACATCAGGGCCTTCGACCTCGCACTCTCTCCTTGCTGAGATGAGAAGGGTCCAAGCGGAGGCCGCGAGCTGAGCCAGCTACATTCCATCCAGGGCATGAGCTTGTGATTCTTGTACGGCAATTGCCCGGCACCTCCGAGCAAAAGGCCATGCCAATCCCCGACTTCGGATCCAATTCCCCGTGTGAAGCCTTTCACCAAGGATTCCGTGACCTCAGCAATGCTATGCAAAGCCAAAGAAAGACTTGACTTGCCATTGAATTGAGGCAAGCCGCATCGCCCAAAGCTTTCAATGACCTCAGGCGCAAGGGTGAACCCCATGGCAGCCATGCAAAAAGCACACCTGCCCCTCTCGTATTCAGCCGCCCACGTCGGACTTGTTTGAATGCTCTGAGCCGGCCAGATCGCACAGAAGAATCCTGGCGAACGTGCGGGAGTGCAGGTTTTGCTGCATACTCTCTGTCGTCTTCAATCTACTAGCTGGTTCGAAACTATGCAAGCCAAAGCCAGGGGGCCTTTCCACCCAACTTCTGCTCCGTCTGCTTCAGTGGTCGACATTGCATGCCAATGCATGCCGCCTTACTAATGCATGCCTTACTTACTGATACCTTCTACCCTGGACATGTGGGAGTTTCACAAAATCAAGGCCCTGAAGACAGTCGCGCGGATCGCACATGCCCTCAACGCACACAACGACAATCCACGCATTCGTGTGCAACCACTTGCACCCGCATGACTTTCCACTGAAAAGCGATGGGACATTTTGGGCTCCTTCAAACTATGCAAGCCATTCAGTTCCATGAATCGATGAAATGCTCAGGGTGCGCTTCGTGCCGTGCTGCCATTTGGCCGCCAAACAGACACGAATGAAGCGCCAAGGCTAACGCGAGCCTCTTGTGAAGTGTGAGTGCTGGGCAGGTGCCAGCCATGCTGTGCAGTGCGAGCTCTGCTGTATCTCGCACGGCACGAAGTCAGAAACATTTACACGAAGACAGCTGTCCCAGAAGATGCTGATTTACTAATACTTATATTAAATAAGAAGGTTATAAGTAGGTTCATACTTGGGGTAACTCCACTTCGGGTACTTATGACTCTACTTATAACCTACCTGCTACGTCCCCTGCCCCTCCAAGTGACGACTGTTAACAGTCAGAATAGGGTTCTGGAGTAGATTATCCTATACTTACAAGGAGGACACCTGGAGGGGCCATGATGCTTAGAGAAGGGTTTTGATTTTTTATTGTTGTCATAAGAAGAAGCCCAATAATAGTGGGAAATCTATCGGTCTCGATATTACTTAGGATCGGCTTTAGGCTTCAGGGGTGAGAAGTTTAGCGTTCTGGGGTTCAGGGTGTAGGGTTTAGGGCTAGAGGGGTCCGAGTACTTAGGATTCTAAGCTCCATCATACCTCCTAGGTGAAGAAACTGCAAGATACCCCAAAACCCTGCTGGCCTCTTGTGACTGCGGGGTTTCTGTATTGGAGCTGAAAGTTCTGAAGGAGGCCAGGTAAGGTTGAGGGTTTAGGACTTTGGGGTTCAGGGTTTAAGGTCCACCTGGAGGATGATGGGACTTAGTAACTGACACTAATTACGGTAACTGTACTTAAGAATACTTGTAACCCACTTAAGTCTCGCTAGCGGCAGGGGACAGCTGGCCATCGGCTCTTGAAAGCTCTCGCGGCTGCGGAGCGCACATGCCCTCAACGCACACGACGACAATCCACGCCTTCGTGTGCAACCACTTGCACCCGCATGCCTTTACGTTTCGGCACAGGATTCAACAGCTCTGGGAAACGATGGGACATTTTGGGCTCCTTTAAACCATGCAAGGCATCCCATGCCCATCGACCACGTTGTTGTCGGCCTTGCTGTGCTCAGTTCCATGAATGGATGAATCTGTGCTTGAAACCTTCAAATGCTCAGAGTGCGCTTCATGCCGTGCTGCCATTTGGCCGCCAAACCCTCAATAGCACGGCAGGCTTTGCAACGTCTGCCTTCATTGATGTCTGGAACTTGCACAAATGAGGGTATTGAATAGACACGAATGAAGCGCCAAGGCTAACGGGAGCCTCTTGTGAAGCGTGAGTGCTGGGCAGGTGCTCTGCTGTATCTCGCACAGCACGAAGTCAGAAATATTTACACGAAGCCAGCCGTCCCGGAAGATGCTGCCTCTGCAAAGGAGCAGAAGGGATGCTGTGAACAATCCTGAGTTTAAACTTAAACCCAACTCTGTAGTCCAAGCAGCCTTTCAACTTACGTTGGCAAAGAACTCCCCGATGTCAGTCCAAAAACGCTTACCGATCAAATCGAACGAACCCTTCCGGAATAAATGTGTTAGCAGAATCTTCGGGTAGGTTGCGATGCAGTGTCCAGCTTACGAAGCATCCACAACCCAGGATCCGAAAACCGTCTCGACTATGACGACTGTAGCCCTGTTTCATGGTCTCTGCACTGAGCTTCAGCTGGCCCTGCCTTCCGTGTCCTTTGCGGGACACCTTTGCCGTCTTGCGGGTTTAGTTTCTAGGACATCCCGTTTCGGGCAAAGTCTGGGGCTCAGCTTGGCCATGCTGAAGGTCGTGAGAAGAGGTTGGCCACGCAACATCTGCACGTCAACCCCGTAGCAGACTCGTTTCAACTGCTTTGGCCAACGGCTACTTTTGAACACCGCACTGGGCACCAAAGTCCAGAGCTATGCAATATCGTCTCGCCGCGCCTCTCCTCACTTTGTACGCCACCCGAAAACGTCCGAACATCGACTACGAGCCTACCCTGCTGCCAATGCTCGTTTTCCTGACTCAGAACAATTGACGACAGAGGTGAACTGCGCAGGAGTCTTGTGGCAACGGTGCATGTCGCTACCAATTTCGCAACAGCTCCTTGCAGCACCAGCATCCGCTGGAACACACTGAAAACACCGACTGGGATTGCAACGCTGGATCAACCTGGATCAAGCACCAACGCGAGCTCACTCCATCACACGGGAAACTCGGGAAACTTTTGACAAACCACATGCGAGACACTAAATGCGCCTGCTGAAACACAAAAAAACACAAGTCCCTCCATCTTACTGACACGAAGCCCCGCCAGGCTAAACATAGTGAATCCCGCGCAAACATGCTCACACTCACACTCAGACTCACGCACCTTTCATGTCGGGAAGTATCGAGCCCAAAGCCTCAAACCATTTGGCCTAGGAGTAATACTTGCTCTGAGCGTCGTTGGGGTGGGCGCCCCATCTTCGGGCGATCTCGCACAGCTGGCTTGACCAGCAATCTTTCCTGGGTCTCTTTATGGGGGCCCATCTCGAAGGACTGCCAACTAAAGTGGGGCATTGCACATGAAAGGTGGACTCGCCGAAAGGTTCTCTTGGAATTCATCACAGGCGTCTCTTCAAGCACTGGCATCTTCACAAGCAACTACGGAGTGGCTGAATTCCAAAAGAACCTTTCGGCGAGTCCCACGCCCTTCCAGACCTTTAGATCCTGTGCATCTAGGTGTACCCCAAACTCTATAACCTTTGACAGGGCAAAGGTGGTTTCATCCGTGTCATCGCTGAGTGCACGACGGCTCCAGCGGGTGCGCCCCAGAAGCCCTGACTTCCAAGTGAGATTTTAGATTCCGAAGGTGCGGAGTCCTGGTTTGCAACTTCAGGACTAGGTGTGTCGAAAGAGTGTTTTGGGTGGTGCACTGGAGTGAAAGGTACCGCCGGGGCCCTGGCTGCGTCCAAGCGCCCCAGCAAGCGGGCCGCCGCCTGCAAAACTTCAGCGCGAGCTTCTAGCACATGTAGGTTTGATTGTTCGGGGTTTACGGCTTCGGGATTTGGAGTCGATGGTTGCGGCTTCAAGGCTTTGGGATGGAGCCTGTGTCACAAATCATAGCCTGATTGCCAAACTGGGTTGAGGGCATGTCGTTTAAGGATTTGGGCTTGTGGGTTGTGCTCAAGTGGCCAGCGAATCAATGCTTCTCCAACCACAGAAGCCTGAGCATCCTTAGCCCAAAGAGAATCTCTTTCAACTCAGGGGCCTCTGTGCCAGCAGCACTGACCACCGGCGAGCTGCCTGTCAAAGCCAGCCGCTGCGATTGGCTTTGGAGTCTCATGTGACATGGCACACAAAGAAAGCACGAAACTCCCATAAACTGCAGTACCCTAAGAGCTCCTCAGCTTTTCCAGAGCCCATCTCTCGACGGAGTCTTGCACATCAGCTTGTTGGCTCACGCGCTTCAGTCCAGGTCTCGTGTTCCAGGAACCCAGGTCAGCTCAAGAAACCCCAAAGCCGACAATGCAGTGCCCGACTACCTAACGCAAAGCATGGCACAAGACACACAGCCGAGGCACAACAAAGAATAGCTAGCAGCTAGCACTGCATGACAGGATACCAGAAAGAACAGTGGAAAGCCAAACACGTCAAGGAAGGGCGGGCTGGCACGTACGAGACCTAGCCGAATTACAACTGCCATATTGACAATAATCCAAAGGAAGCTTTTGGGGCAGCCTCTTCGCCACATTCACATCAACCCCATCTGGACGGAGCATCTCTCTGAAGTGCAGTGACGACCACTGATCTTAACCTCACGAAACTGGCCTGACCTGTATGGGGAGGGTATTCGTGTAGGGTACTTTGACTTGTATACAGTGGGGCTGTAGGGCTCTAGCAAAGGCGGCGCACCTTGTGACATCGCTTTGGCCGGGGACGTGCTTGCCTGCTCTTGGCAAAGCCCAAGACGCTTGGGCCTTTGCAATCAACATGCCGATCTGGGCGCCCAGCGGCAGCAACAAGGTCTTCCACAAACTGCCCCGCGACATCGTGTTCCACCTTGCAGGTGCCGCCCGTGGAGCAGAGCAGGACGTCGAAAACAAATTGAGCTTCTGCGGCAAACACCTCGTCCCCTCGAGTGGAAAGCAGTGGCTCTTCCTGACGATTCGTGAGGGCAAAGCTTTTGCTCTCAGTGGCACCCTACAGTAGGCCCTACAGGGAACGCGGAAACCTTTCCTGAGACTCTACTTCAGGCATGCAGCACAGATTCGAAGGCAAGCAAAGGACTTTGAAAAGCCATATGCTCTGGGACGATCACCGGAAGCACAAGCGGCGTGAACCACGTGACCGCAGAGGGCCGCTTCCACCAATCGCAGCCCAGCGCTGTAGCCACAACCTCCAGAGTCACAAGCATTACAGCTTCAGGAACCTTCTTCGGAGATTGCGAAGTTTCAGAATGACACACATCAGTAAGCTCTGACTCTGTCTTGCTCAAAAGCGTAGGGAGCAAGCTGGTCCGGCGTTCATTTAAAGATGTTGAGGAGGATGACTCGCTTGTGTTGTGCAAAACCGAACGTCCACCTCATGCTAATGGCATTCGTGAAGAAGCAGCACATCACTTCAAGCATCACCGGAGCTACTACACGACGGTAATCTGGGAACCATCATCAGTCTATCTGCCTCTGCGGTGGGAGTGGGAGTCTGTCGCAGTGGCGTATACCTTTCAGAGGAAATCGCATGTGGGTCCAAGGTGGGTGCCCTACATGCCGTTCTTGCCACAACAAGCCTGAGCTTCAAGTTGGAAAGCTCTTGTTAGGGCCAAGGTGCCAGGTTCCGACCGACGCCAGAAATTCCCACGGCTGGGTGGAAAATGCCGCCGCAGGCTGACAAGCCTCGCCCCCCGATGGCTAAAGCTCCCCCACCACGCAGCGAGAAGTCAAGAATTCAAGCCATACTTCTATCACTGCTTCCCTTCCTGAGGTTCGGCTGCTGTCTTTGCCAGCTCCAGTGCAGGATGCCCGGTGTCTACCCGCGAAGATGTGGCGAGCGAGAATTCGCACGAATCAATGCTTCTCCAACCACAGAAGCCTGAGCATCCTTAGCCCAAAGAGAATCTCTTTCAAGTCAGGGGCCTCTGTGCCAGCAGCACTGACCATCGGCGAGCTGCCTGTCAAAGCCAGCCGCTGCGATTGGCTTTGGAGTCTCATGTGACATGGCACACAAAGAAAGCACGAAACTCCCATAAACTGCAGTACCCTAAGAGCTCCTCAGCTTCTCCAGAGCCCATCTCTCGACGGAGTCTTGCACATCAGCTTGTTGGCTCACGCGCTTCAGTCCAGGTCTCGTGTTCCAGGAACCCAGGTCAGCTCAAGAAACCCCAAAGCCGACAATGCAGTGCCCGACTACCTAACGCAAAGCATGGCACAAGACACGCAGCCGAGGCACAACAAAGAATAGCTAGCAGCTAGCACTGCATGACAGGATACCAGAAAGAACAGTGGAAAGCCAAACACGTCAAGGAAGGGCGGGCTGGCACGTACGAGACCTAGCCGAATTACAACTGCCATATTGACAATAATCCAAAGGAAGCTTTTGGGGCAGCCTTTTCGCCACATTCACATCAACCCCATCTGGACGGAGCATCTCTCTGAAGTGCAGTGACGACCACTGATCTTAACCTCACGAAACTGGCCTGACCTGTATGGGGAGGGTATTCGTGTAGGGTACTTTGACTTGTATACAGTGGGGCTGTAGGGCTCTAGCAAAGGCGGCGCACCTTGTGACATCGCTTTGGCCGGGGACGTGCTTGCCTGCTCTTGACAAAGCCCAAGACGCTTGGGCCTTTGCAATCAACATGCCGATCTGGGCGCCCAGCGGCAGCAACAAGGTCTTCCACAGACTGCCCCGCGACATCGTGTTCCACCTTCCAGGTGCCGCCCGTGGAGCAGAGCAGGACGTCGAAAGCAAATTGAGCTTCGGCGGCAAACACCTCGTCCCCTCGAGTGGAGAGCAGTGGCTCTTCCTGACGATTCGTGAGGGCAAAGCTTTTGCTCTCAGTGGCACCCTGCAGGGAACGCGGAAACCTTTCCTGAGACTCTACTTCAGGCATGCAGCACAGATTCGAAGGCAAGCACAGGACTTTGAAAAGCCATATGCTCTGGGACGATCACCGGAAGCACAAGCGGCATGGACACACCAGCGGAGCACTTTGCAGCAGGCCTCTCTTGACACCATGTCGTCTTCGTTGACGTCGATGGCCTTGAGAAGGCTCGTCGGGCATCCGAAGCGTGGGCAACAGGGTGAGAACCACAACCTGGCCTCGAAAGCCGCAGCAAGCGTTTGCTTGACCTTGCTTAATTCTGCCGATGCGGCTTCACGGAAGGCACCACCATACAATTCACATTGAATGCTGTTAAGCCTGACACGTCCTTCAACTCCTGCGCACAAGCTCGATTGCGCGTTTCGGCTCTTGTTAGACTCAGCACGATTGACTCTATAAACTATAGTTCTACACATGTCTTCTTGGGTCTCAATATGTTTCACAAAAGCAACAACATGTATTGAGCAATCTCGTGTCTTTTCGAAAAAAACCAGACCAAGCTCATGTTCGCCGCCTTCCGCAACGCTTTCACCTCCTGCGGGGCCAACACCACAGCTATGACTCACCCCAACACACAACTTCGGTACAATCCTAAACAAATTCCGACAAAAGTCCTTCAACAGCTTGAACATCAATTGCTTCTGCATCGAAGAGATCCTTGACCTCAAGACGCACAGGAAGAATGTACTGCACAGCCGACGTTGATATCAACACAAAAACAAGCCAACGGGCTTTTCTTCGCACTCACACCCTGAGCCTCATATAGCATATTCCGGACAGTTTTGACATGTACATGCTCATCACATTGTTGGTGAAGTTAAACCATGATATGCAGTAAATAGGGGTTTGGGGTTGCTGTACAAAGTTGTTACCCGTCTTTCCTGGTTATCTTTACGAATTTCCACGAAGTCAAACTGTGTCACAGACTGTTACTTTTTGGTACCGTCGACACTTTTGCAACTTACGGCAGATCCGGTCTCACAAAAAAGCTAAACCGGGCTCATGAGATGTCGTGGCTCACAGCCCGATCAACCACAGCAGCGGCTTACCAGCAGTCGAACATGTAGAAACACTCACGGTTTGCATGGTCCACATTGTTTGTAGCCACGGGACATAACTTGTGCTTTCATCATTGTGGACTCATTCTACTTGCCTTGGTCACAACTCCGAAGGCTTCACGATGATCGAAATTTCCATTGCCAACAGTCCATACGATCTGCTGTGCGTCTCGCACACAGCAAAAATTTCTCTGGAAAGTCCCCAAACAGTTTCGCTGTAGGGATTCTCTCTTCAAAGCACTGTCCGCGCTAAGGTAAAATGGCGTGTCCGCACCCCGCTCCTTGTGTGGGTCGATGATACTGTGTTGATGCTCACCTCACCGAACGTGTTGATAAGTTGTTGCTGCCCTTTACGAACTTGCAGCTGTCAAGCTGTATCCACAGCAGTCCCTGCAGGCAAACTCGGTCCGAATGTGCTCTCGCCAGAGACACGCGACGAATTGTCTGTGCAAGGGGATGGCTCGAATCCTCAAGATCAGTAGACCACAAGCACTTTAGCTTGTATGGCAATAGTTGATATGCCGAAGCATATTCTTGAGCCAAAGTTGCGTTGTGTGCAGAGAAATTATGGCAGGCACTGTCGCATGGTCCGGCTAGCGGGCCCAAGCGCGGGCAACATAAAAGCAGTGAGACAAGGTCTGCAAGACGGTGCCTTGCTCTATGTACATGGTGGCACATGACATCAGATTCATAGCTCAGATTGCGACACCTGCGAATTGGACTAAGCATCGAGGTCCGTTCGCACCCCCCATGAGTTGCGTCTCTGGCACTACACTCACTTTGGAAGAGAGTCGCGATTAGACAAAAAGAAAATATCCGCCGCAACTTTGAGGATTGTTTAGGATAAGAGCCATGAGTTCTCAATTTAAAGGTTGTGACACTTCTCTACGTCAATGACGATCCCCTGAAATGACTTCGCGGAATCAGAAAAACACCGAAGAAATAGGCCACGATCGGATTCCACCTGCACGTAGTAGCCAGTGCCACGAACTTGCCAGCAGTGAAAGAGACGATATGACCGATTGTCTTCCTCCCAGCGCCGGAGACGTTGACGTTCACGCTCACGTTCCTTAGGAGTCTTGGACTTGCCTGTGCCTCTGCCCTTGTCGACATGGGTGTTGGCATTCCAAGGACGACGGCTGTCTCCTCGTCCGGGTGATGAAGCTCGATTGTGATTTGGACGATTGACACGTTCACGTTGTTCATCTGTGACGGGGGCATCCATGATCGATGATCGTCCTGCTTGCAAATAGTCGGAGGGGCGCAAATTTTGAAGTGCTTGACGTCCTCCTCTGTGAGCCTGTGGATTAACCTCCCTGTCGATCCTGCTCTCGGTCACTTTGTCCACGAACCTAACTTGAATGTTGTTATCTGCGTGAGATGCCGATAACACGGTATAGATGCTCACCTCACCGAGCTTGTTCACATAGTTTACAGTGGTGGCTTTCTACGATGCAGTAGCCAGTCGTACTGATACCAACGCAATCGCTGGCAAACTCGGCTCACCCTTTTTCTCGGGAAAGATAATTACTCGCAGCGAGTTGTCTGTGCAGACAGGAATTGTTCAATCCTCAAGGCTCGTTAGACTCGACAGTAGATGAGTAGATTCACTCATATTCTTGAGCCTAAGTTGCGTTGCACGCGGAGCGTATGGTAAAGTGACTTGTCGCCGGGTCCACACAGTGGTACCGGGCTACATGGTACGGGGCCCACACAGTGGCTCCCCGACCCATGGACATGGCGTACCATGACATGTGGTTCATAGCTGTCATAGCTAAAGAAGCGACACCTACGAATTGGACTAGGCATCGAGGTCCGTTCGCACCCCCCATGAGTTGTGCCTCCGGCACTGCTCACACGAAGAGAGTCGCGATGGAAACAGAAAAGGCTCCGCAGCAACTTTGGACATTGCTGAGGATAAGAGCTTTGACTCCCAATTAATAAGGTTGTGACATATCACTACGTCGGTAACGATCCCGGGAAACATCACTCGCAGAATCAGAGAGTCACCGCAGAGTATCAGTACGGATGCTGCGGCACATGAACGAGCGTCACACAGATGACGATGTACTTGCCGACGGGCCTGCTCCCTTTCAGCGGGACGTCGGTTCTTGCCCGTGCCCTTGTCAGCAGCAGTGTTGGCGATGTACCGTTGACGGTTCGCAGAAAATGCCTGTGCCCCAGATTCTCGTCCAGATACTCATGCGGTGCAATGTGCTCCAAAGCTCTTCGTCTTCGAATAAGGCACGAGGTTTGTTTTCGGCTTCCGCACGGTTCTTGATGAACTTGTCCAGGTATTTCCTTGGCACAGGGGTGTCACTGTCGATGAGCATGCCGATGGTTGTGACGCTGACGTCTCCAAGACTCACATTGGCCATCACCCCAACAGGGTCAATGAACAGGAATCCGACCGGACCAGAAGGAGCGGGACGAATGAGCGAAAAGAGCTGGTACCCCGTGAGCTTGGGAATGATGTCGCTGAGAACGCCCACACACACACACACGTAATGCATCTGCTTGAGCTCCACCCGCTGATTGCTGTTCGTGTTGAGGTAAGTGCTGGGATCGAAACCCTTGCGACTATAGTTCAGCAAATGCGCTAACCTGCGAAACAAAGTCGTTCCGTCCGGATCATAGGCGTCTTCTGTCTTCCTGACTTCTGCAATAGGTTAGGAGCTCCTCATCGGTGACGTCGCGACTGATGTGGGTTTCAGGATCGACTTCGCTCAAGATCGGACCCCACTTCCCATGAACATCATATAACGCTGTCCCAATCGGAACTTGTCTTTCATGCTCTCGAACGGCACAGTAAGCCACGAAGTAGCAGCCAGTTCTTGTGAATGGTTCTGCACACGCAGTACGCCATGTAAGAGAAAGTGATGAGGTCGCGGTCAACGCAAGTGCCGACCTCTCTGTCTGAAGAAGAAGGATGAAGAGGTGGTGTCATCGCAGCCAACGCAGCCTGATGATCAGAGTCGATGACGTGCGTTCGACCTGGCAAAAGGACGGGGATGTCGCTCATTCGCTGCCTCTTCATCTTCGTCGGACTGCATCATCTCCTCATCCGGCTCGGGTTCTCCTTCCGTTTGTCCTCCATCAACCTCCATCTCAGGCTCCGCAACTGGCCTCACATCGCTTTGGTCCATTGCTGGCTCTTCGTTCTCATCTTCAATGACGATAGGTACCGCGGCGGCTGCAGCCTCCATCTGACTGCTCAATTCCGGACGCAGGGACCTCCACAGGAGCCTCCCTTGGCATCTCTTGTTGGAACTAACCAAAGCTGACCAGCATGTAGTGCACTTTGTGAGCGTTGCAGGCGTGATGCGGTAGCATCCTGGGCAAATACGCATGATCATGCCATCGTCGATGTCCAGCATACGACGAGAGCCAGGGCGTGAATGCGTGATGGCGAGATTGATGCCGCATTGACGCCCTCCTTAGGCCCTCCTTGAGGTAGTGTTGGCGTCGAGCATCTTCGTGATGATACTCGGACGCTGCCACAAGTTCTCGCATGAGCACTTCTTTGTCTCGTTGATGAGGCCCGGCCTCACATCCAATCAGGAGTTCCAAGACTCGCGCAGGCGTGCGCTTCCATCGGAAGTTGTGAAAAATCGGAGAATGCCTGTAATCAAGCACCAGTTCATTCACGAGTTCTGGACCGTAGATCTTCTCAATGAACTCAAAGGAATAGTTGTCGGAAGCTTTCGGAATGCAGAACCATATCTCCTTGACCATTGGAAAGGGCACCACCCTGCTGGCCATGATGGTTCCATTGTCGTAACTCTTCCCCCAACCTTATGAGGTCGCCGATGGGAACGTAGAGAACCGCAAGCGGCATGTGACGATCACGTTGTCCACATACCCCTGTCTTCGTTTATGCGTTCCGCTCGTCCCAAGGTGCAAAGATACCGTAGTAGCTGTGAACCCTTCCTGCCTCGTGTTGCCTGTTGTAGTCACGTAGTCCTTGTTGATCAGGTTGCCCGGGTGGTCGCCGCGTTCCATGATCGAAAGAAGATTCCGACAGTCAGTCGCATGAAAAGCGCCTCCCAAGCGGTTGCAAACCTCAGTCGAAGGGGAAATCGCGAACTTGTCCGGGTTCACCCGGAAAAGATTCCGATCTTCGTTTGGATGAACGCATTGCCCGCTTGCTGCCCTGACAGCCCATGGTCTCACCCATCCATTGCACGGTCCAAGCGTTGATTTCTCAGGGTACTTCTGTTCTGCTGCAACTCGACGATCTGGTTCTGAATGGAGACGATCCATCAGAGTTGGCATGTCCAAGTTCGTGTGGCCCGGCCGGCGGTTCCGTCACGCCTATGGGAAACAACGGTTGATCGCCTCTCTGAGGAAGTTCACGATCTCGGTCATCGGAGATTTCCTCAATGAGTTCGGACACCAGCGCTTCACCCAGGGCACATCTCAGAGATTTCGAATCCATCATATCGCATAAGCGTCCATTCGCCAGATATATCGTATCTCCACCTTGGCGAGGTCTTGCTGTTGCCTTGGGACGTCGGCCTGATGATGTTGCACTTCCAGTCTCATCAACTTCTTTCTGGGACCGGTGGTTTTCGAGCACAAATGACGTTTCTTCAATATAAGGGAAAATGTTATATCCCCTTTCTGGAATATTAACTATAAATGATATATTCAGAATCAAATGTATAGAGAAAAGGTCTCTTAGAGATCATATACTTTATGGCAAATTTTTCATCCAATCAAATAACTAAGGTTCCAGAAACTCTCTCTCCTTCGTTTTGCGTTCACCGCGATCGGGGGTCTGCGAGGACCACTGCAACACTCTTCAAGAAGTCTCCCCGTCGCCGCTGCGACCTTCAAGTGAGCCCCAACGCCCCTGATCACACTGAGCTCACTTGAAGGATAGCACTCGTTCGGACAGTTCTTCAAGCTTCGAGAAAGGCTGAACTTGCGACGGGCCGACCGTCGCCACGACTTCTTCGCCGTGGCCTCTCGACGGGCGTGTTTTTTCCATTCCAACGCAGCGCGAGGGTCTCGCGTCAAGCGGGCGGTCCACTTAGGAATCGCCGGAGCTGCACGGTGCCGTAGCACTGCGTGCAACGAGTAAAGAGCAGAGCGCCTATAAGCGCCGTCTACTCAACTAAACAATCTACACTTCACTAAGCTCGCAGAAGAAAAAGCATGTACGCGTTGTGATGAATCTGTGTGAGATTCGCTTTTGTCGCAGCAGCGGGTCTGATGTTGTCATCATGCATGATGACATCACTTGCTTGTAGTTGATCACTCTCGGATCTGTTGGAGCGAACCTCAAACATGCGATAGTGACCTGTGTGTGCCCGATCACCGATATGTATGATGCCTCCCAACAGCTTGTACGCAACTTCATCGGTAGTCAAATGCTGTTGTGGGATGAGTGCCGGCTCCTTTAAAGGGGCCGAATCGGCATCATGGTCCGGCTCCCTACTTGGGGCCGGGTGACCACGGTGAGACCTGAAGATCGGTAGGAAAATGTTTCTATGTACATCGATCTTCTGCCGGAGCTTGCGGGGTTGGCCTCGTCGGTATTGGAAGCGGGCAAGACTGATGAGCACTATCTCAGGTGCAGTGACGAGAGCAGTCAGCGGCCTGGTTCCTCGCCAATGGTTCACCATGTCCTGAATGTTGGTGGCACTTTCAAGGTTCATGGTAATGTAGGGGCTGGTGGTCGAGTCGTCCATGAGACGCCTGGGTGCGTCAGGTGTGGGCCGATGGATGGCCCATTCGTCTGCCAGAGGTTCCCAGCCAAGGTGCGGTGACAGAAAGTGTAGGAGCTCTGACACATCATGCTGCTGTCTGGGTTGCCTCCAGCCTCTTAGGAGTCGCGTCCATGACGGTGACTTCAGGATGTCGTTGTTGTCAGACTTGAGCAATTCGTTGAGGGCGGCTTGTATGGTTCCAATGGCGCCGTTGGCATGCTTCACTGCTTGAAACAGAAGAAGAGCGATGGAGTTGATGTAGCACTGGCTATGTCGGTTACATAGAGTGCTTGGTAGCTCTGTTGCCTGCCATGCGGTGGCCCGCTTCACAGATGAGCCAGCAGCAGGCGCTGGAGCCGTAGTTTTATCACTCTGCTGAACGATGTTGGTCCCCTTGGTCCCCCTCATGTCAGCATTGGAGGAATCCGGTTTGGAATCAGCCAGTGCTGATGATCCCCTCGGCTCCCGCCAGATGGCTTGGCTTGACCCGCTCCTGTCTTAGGCGTAGGCCGATTAGCTGGGTCGCCGCGAGATCCTGAATTCGAGTGAAGAGGCTGTAGAGCTTGTTGGCTTCCGGGCGGATTGACTGCGCGAGGAGCATGATGACCGCGTCCGTCTGGTAGGTCTCTTTCAGTGGCCGCAAGGAGTGAAATCGATGAACCAGGCCTGGCTGCGATGTGAGTTCTGTGATTTGCTCCATAGTCTCCAGAATGGCCGTGTGTGTCATCGGCTCCTTTGTTGTCGGCATCAATTTCTTTTCTTGCGGACTCCACGCGAGATACTGCCACTTGTTGTCCGTGGTCAACCAGCCAGCTTCCAGGCACAGTTTGTGAAGATGCTCTTCGGAGGTTTTGGCTACACGTGCCTTGAGCTCCATGGCCATCGTGCCCATCAGAGCAGTGCGGAGTGGTGCCTCGCAGCTGCCGTTCTCGTAGTCCTCTTTTGACTTCAGGGACGTCTGGTACATCTGCAGCAGCAGGCTGCTGTCTTTGGTTGTGAGATACAGGCGGAAGCTTGATCGACAAAAACTAAAACGCTGAGAAAATTCAATCGCGATTGAACTTTTTCAATCGGCGGTCCTGTGGGATGCTCCGGAACAGGATCCTGGGAGTAGCCGAGGCAGGCCGCCTCATAAGACGCCACCGTGTTCCCCGCCGCCCGGCTCTCGCCGCCGTGCTCCTCCCGTTGGCGAAGACGCCGGCACGGAGACGGTTTCTGGAACCGGTTGACGCCGCCGCGACTGTGGACCCGAGGTCGCAGCCCGTGTGGCGCCTCTGGCCGCTTGCGGCATTTCTTCAGTTTTGTGCGCAGCACCTAGCTGCTTGCCGAAAGGATGGCAGGGTGGCGTATCCGCTCTATAAATCCCGGACGCTCGTGGCTAGGGAGGCACGGCTATGCTCCCGAAGCGCGAGGAGTAGCGCCGTTGCTTCGGCTGCTCGTCTCACCAGCCCGTGGCCGCTGTGCGGCGCGGACTGCGGAAGGCTCAGAGCCTCGTGCCAGGAGTGCCGAGAAAAGTAAGGGGTTGTGCGTGTGTTCGGTTCAGGAAGGGTTGTCGGGTAGGTTTTTGGCAAAGCCTCCGGCCGCCCGCTGCCCTAACGACACACCCCGTGCTCTCGGCTGAGGGCGAATGTGACTGTACATAGTCTACGGGCTGTGCTGTGGGACTTTGTGCTTTTATGCATGTGTACTGTGAATTCGTGTTCCATAACATTTTTGGCTCAAGCGAGCACGGCAGTAAATCGTAGGTTGCTCCGTGTAGCCTGCGATATATTGGCGGTGCGCAGCACGCTCATGTGTGCGACCTGACACGGTCGCGGGACTTCTGCAGCAGAGCACGTAAACGGGCGGCGCACGATTGCCTGGTGGTAACTCTGCCCCGCTGTGCTCCTTCACAGTAAGCTCAGAGTTCGTTGCATCAATCCTTGCCAAGCCAAAGAGTATGAGTGTGTGTGTTGTGTGTGTGTGTGTGTGTGTGCGTTTGTGTGTGCATGTAAAATTACTTGCCTGCTTGTGTCTTTAATTCGCGAATTTTCTTCAAACATGCAACTATTGTTTATGTAGTTGATAGTTCTTTACATATTGGATCAGTTGTCTGTTGACTTTTGCTTACTTGTATTGTCGGCCAGAATCTAGAAACAATGTATAGAACCTGTGCACGAGCAGATCTTTGGCAGACGGTTGATGGGATCCCCACCCTTTGGGGCAATTGTGTCTGCATGCCCTCCCCTGGATCAGCACCTGGTCTTAATTACGTTCTTTGTGACCCTGAAGGCTGCCGTTCCACCCAGGCGTCCGAAGCCAATCTTGGCCCTTTTGCATGCTGGAAACGATCAAGAGCTACATCACTTCGCGTGCCATCATGTGTGGAATGCATGACATGGGAGATGAGGCTTGACGGATCATGTGTGGAATGCAAGTGTCCGCAAGCGTGG